AAGCTTCATGAAGTCTGTACCAAGTATTGCACATTCAACACGTCATTTGGGCGGTATTCATTTTTACGTCTACCCTTTCGGATAATTTCAGCTTCTGAAATTTTTCATCGTGCCATGGAGCATGTGATAGAAGGACTGGAGGGAGTATGTGTTTATGTTGATGACATAGTGGTCTGGGGAAGTACAATGCAATAACATAATCAGAGGCTCCTACAGCTTTAAAGGATAAAAAAAAAATTGGAAAAATTTTTTTACCTTTATTGTCACTAAAATACGAGACAGAATAGTTGTTCCACAAGTGCTGAGAAAAAAAGATGCCTTCCAGGATACATAAAGGACATCTTGGAATGGAGAAGTGCAAGAGGAGATCCAGGGATTCAGTCTATTGGCCCGGAATAAACTCTGACATTGAGAAAAGGGTCAGTAATTGTAAAGTATGCCTAAAACATCAAAACAAACAAGCAAGAGAACCTATGATCAAAACAGATCTACCTCAGTATCCCTGGCAGAAAGTTGGTACAGATCTGTTTCATTTCCAAGGAAAAGAATACTTGCTAGTGGTGGATTACTACTTTTTTTTACTTTACTAAAGTGCATGTGTGATTCAGCATTTAAAGTCAATTTTTGCCCAGCATGGTGTTCCACTGGTAGTGGTAAGTGACAATGGCCCATGCTATGGTTCAAAAGAGTTTCGAGATTTTGCTGCTCACTATGATTTTGAGCATGTGACTTCAAGTCCCCATCATGCTCAGTCTAACGGGAAAGCTGAAAAAGGAGTGCACATAGTGAAGCAATTGCTCAAAAAGGCTTCAGAGGACAATTCTGATCCATATCTGGCTCTTCTGAGTTATCAAGGAACAATTCTTGAGCACGGTGCATCTTCTGCAGAGCTATTAATGAATCGTAAGTTAACAACGACACTTCCCTTCATAGTAAATGCAAAACAAGACAAAAAGCTAGCTCTCCAAAAGAAGCAAAAGACAAACTATGACAAACCAAAATGCTGAAAGTGCTGTCAAGGGATGACATTGTGAGAGTGGAAGATGCAAGCGGCTGGGGCAAAAGAGCTGTTGTGTTGGAAGAGGTAAATCCAAGATCATATGTTGTGTAAACAGAGAATGGACATTGTCTAAGGAGAAATTGCAGGAGTCTTCTTAGGACACAGGAAAAATTTGATGACAGGAAAGAAGAAATCTCTCCTGAAGAACAAGTTCAACAAAGCAGGCAGTCTACTTCCATTCCCCTCGATAATGGTTCGTCTACAGAGACCAATGACTTTCCTATCTTGAGAAGATCATTATGTACAATAAAGAAACCTGATCGTCTTAATTAGTAAAGAGACTGTTTGTTTACATGTGGAATGTGCCAAACAAGTGTGTTGTTTCTTCTTTTCATTTTGAAATTTCTTTTTAATTACAATTGAATAATTCCTTGCATCACCTTTTCTGTTTATGCATAATTGTTTAATTTATCTCAAAGGAAAAGGGATGTAGTGATTTGTTGATGTTACTGTAAATGACCACTAGATGGCAGGAGTATCAAGCTATACATAGAGATGCAATATAGGAAGAAACAGAAGAACAATGATACAAAGTGAGTGCTTAAGTTCTGAAACAAAAAATGTTACATGCCAGTTAATTTATATAATTTCCGAGTGTTTATTTAAAAAAACAAAACAAAAACAAAAAACATTATTGTTCAGGTGTTTAACTTGAGTTGCTTCTAACATTACTTCTCTCCTCCAATACAATGTAAAGGTTTACATTCATTAGCAAATTTAGTTTAATTTGAAGTACAATAGTTGTTTATTTTGCCATGAATTTGCATATTAATAAAACCTATTTGATAACAGAAGAGACAGCATAGTGACTCAGTGGTTTACAGTATTAGTGAAAACAGAAGTTGAATTCTTGAAAACTTTACAACCCTTTTATATGAACCCTTTAATATGTCTTGTTGTACCTGTTGGTTTTTAAATGTCCCTCCATATTTAATTCACTAAATAAAGTCTTTGTCCACCCTGTCATGCCAATGTCCACCCTTTCATCTTGCTTTCCACCATCATGGTCAACTTCTATATGAAAATGACCCAATTATTCATAACCTCAGCAAAACATCTTTTGTGATTACTTAATTAACCAATAAGGGCCAGTTAATATTGTTTGAAAGTTTGCCAAAATATGTGAGATGTTGATCATTGTGATTGATGATCTGTCTTAAAAATACAGTGATTAATGTGTTTATAACGTGTTGCACTTTAATGTGTTTGTCGTGTGATATAATGGAGACCCAAGCGCAAGGGAGAATTTAAAGAAGATTTATTAAACAGAAGTGGATCAAAACTCTGCCCTATTAAATGCAGTAGGGGAAAGAAAAAAAATCACTCAGATAAAATAGTGAGAACACATGAAGTCAACGATCAGCTCTCCTTTGGGTGATGATGGACTGGTCAAACGAAAAGAGCCTCCTGGCAAAACAGTCGAAAAATAAAGGAACAGACCTCAGACAGCCGAGCTAATGGATATACTTCACTCAATCGTGGTCTGTGGGCAGAGCAGGGGTGAGCCAATGCATAGTTGAACGCATAACAAGTGGATAGAGACAGGACTGGAGAAAATACACAAGGTTCTATCTTCTGATCAGGAAGGCCAGGTAACTAATGTCACTCCGGACACAAAGTAATTATCAAGTGCAGAATGAGGGAGAAGGGGAGACTAAATAGTCGAATAATCAAGGAGAACAGGTGGGAGTAATGGGGACGGGCAAACAAGGGAATTGCTAAAAGGTGAAACTGCATACAAATAACTAGACACAAGAGGGAGACAGAGAAAACACACACACACACACACACACAAAAACTGACAGTTGGCTCCTTGAAGATAAACTCCTCATAAGTTATGCATGAGAAACATAGGTTGCATGTTATAGCATGTTTCAGTTAACAAGTGCGCTGTTAATAAAGTACAGTCTTCATATAAAGATGGGTGTGTGTGATTTCTTCAGAGAATCAGTTCACAACTTTAGATCTTGTTTTTTATTTTGAAAATTATGTGCAACGATTGCATGTTTTAGTGGGAAATAAATGTTTTGTCCATTATTTCATCATTATAAATAGACTCTATAAAGTTAGGTTTGTAAAGGGACACATCTGAAAATATACATTTTATAATTACACTGTAATGAAGATATACTACTCTGAATTTGTCCATGACGGGGTTGACACAATTTGAGGTTTGTTAACTGTTTTTTTTTCCTTGCAGATTATTTGTAAAAAGTGCAAGAGCGTGACCAGCATTCATTTCTTACAGCCTATGTCTAATTAATACAACAATGTGGTTAAATAAAAAATCTTGAAAATGTTGGTCTCAAAGGCACTTTACAGTAATAATAACCCTAAAAACTTTTTCAAAGTTGTCATAAAAATTTTAAGATTAAAGGTTTTGATCAATTCTGAATATCTGTATCTCTGTGTGTGTGTGTGTGTGTGTGTGTGTGTGAGAGAGAGAGAGAGAGAGAGAGAGAGAGAGAGAGCAAGTGGAAAACGAGGGAGACATGTATCAACAATTCATGACTGCAAAAAAAAAAAAAAAACATAGGAGAGATCAACTGGCAGTAGTATACTGGGCTAACTTGAAAGGTCATAATGACAATCACATAGCACAAACAGTTCTAATGCAGTGCCAAGAACAAGAGAAACAGAGTGTTAAAGGTTATGGATGAATAATACAATGTAAAGTATATGATATGGAAATAGACACACTAACAATTTCGCCCACTAGAGTATTTCCAGTAGTTCCCACATGGCTGCTTGGTGATTTGGAAGTTGATTTTAAAATAATAAAAAAATAAATAAAAATAAAAAAAAACCAAGAAAGTGAGATTGATCGTAAACCAGTAGAAAATTATATAAGGGAAAAATACAATGAAACAAGGGAAATGTATACAGATGCATCAAGAATTAGACAAAGGGTAGTAGGAGTGTCATAAAGTATTCCAAAGTTAAAAGATTGAAGCTGTAAAAAGAATTAGTAATAATTTAGCAGTGTATACAGCACAATTGGTAGCGATATGGTTGGCTCTAAAGTGGGTTGAGGGTAATAAACCAATTAAAGCCGTCATTGCTTCTGATTCAATTTCAGCACTTATGAGTATAAAAAATTTAGTATCAGAGTCACGGCAGGACATCATTTATGAAATAGTACAGTTGGGATACAATATCATAAAATCAGGAGTTATCATTTCATTGTTGTGGGTACCAGCACACATAGGGGTCAGTGGGAATGAGATGGCAAGTTGGCAAAACTAGCAGCGCAGCAAACTTCGATAGACATGGACATCATACAGCAAGTCAGAAATCAAATGCATCGTTAAAACTAAAGTATTGAGAAAATGGCAGCTTATATGGAATAATGAGAGTACAGGATGTCAATATTACACCATACAGAACAAAGTCGGAAGAGGTAGGGAAAAAACAATTAGGAAGAGGACAAGTTCAAAAGAATGAGATTTAATCACACAGCACTCAATAGGACATTACATATGATCAATAAACATGCAGATGGGATGTGTGAATAATGACAACCAAGTGACTTTAGAACATGTTTTAATGCACTGCCCAATATATCAAAAATCTGAAAGAAATAGATTATTCACACAGCTACAGGAAAAAAACAAGTGGAATCTAAAATAAATAACATATTAAAGTTGAGCACGGGTGATGTGTGCTTTAGATATGTTTGTAACTTTTTGGTTTATATATATATATATATATATATATATATATATATATATATATATATATATATATATATATATATATATATATATATATAATTTATTTATTTATTGGTGGGGCTTTGTTTCACTATAAGAAATACATGGGTTAGTTACTGCAATCCCGATGGGTGCGAGAAAGCTGGTTGCCAACCGCCTAAAAACAAGAAGTGACAAAAAAAAGACTTTTATTTTGTCATGGCGTGTGACGTCATAAGGCTGCGCCGCTCTTGCGCCGTGATTTCACTGGAGAAAGGTTTGTTTTGAAACTTTTACACAGATCTAAAGCGCTTGATTAAAGTTTCAGGTTTTTCATCTGAAGCTGTACCTACTGTTGACAATATTTTTTTAACCCTTTATACAATGTAATACTTTTTTACTCGCAGTAACCGAATGCTATTGTTTGAACAACAGAGATGTGTGTAAGTGTTTCAATGAAGGTTTAATTTATTAAATAGCCTAATGTCATACCATTCTACGTATACATCACTATAAGAAATGGAGTACTAGTTTTATTTTGCTCATTTGTGGCTATTGTTTCTTGCTCGGATTTACTCTTTATCTGATTTCTTTTTGTTTATCACTCTCATTAAAAGAAACTGTTAAAGCAAGTTTTGAAGAGAAGTTTTTTCTGTTCATTGTTTTATTCATTTTAAACAGAACATTTGTATTGTTTTGTTCATTTTAAACAGGATACATTGTCCAAACGCAGAGGAAAAACTCCTGCTGAAGCGACTGATTTCCACACTGTTATAAAGATGGCGTTTATTAAAGAGGAGAGTGAAGATGTGAAGATTGAAGAAACATTCTCAGTCAAACAGGAAGATCTGCAGGAACAAACAGGTTGGTTTTCATTCTCAAAGACCGGCTCCGTCATCTGATGCTCATTCAGATATATTTGAATAATAAGAATACTAAATGAAATCCATCTTGCAGCCCTGAGTGTGCTGCCTAGTTCTACTAAATGTACATAAGCACTCATTAAAAGACGGGAATGAGTTTTTTATTACTTGTTTCAGGTCTTTTGTCATTCTTTTTATGTATTATAAGGCTATATACTATTTTCTCTACCTTCTTAAGCTTATTGCTTTTCTTCTTCTCCTACTGTTTGTAAAGCGTCTTTAAGCACTATATATAAAAAAAAACAATAAATTAAAAAAGTTTAACTGTGCTGACGATATTTGACTTACAGTATTCTCATAGAAGATATCTGCTATTACGGCGATGGCAAGTGTGCCGGTAACCTGCGTTTGAATAAAGGTCTCGGCCGTTAGCTCGCCCCCTGGGGGCTGGCTACAGTACAAGTCATAAAGCCCGCCTCTCCGTGTTAATGAATGAGACTTGAGCCCAAATAAAAAAATAATTAATTACACTTGCAATAAAATGTCCCGAAAGATGGTTCTGGTCGATTAAGGCAATGATTATTGTGCTGAGATAGGTGCAGATCTTCATTTTTGTAAACAGTTTGTTTTTAGCAGTAATTTAATGCTGGACGTGTCATCGTGATTGACAGCTGTGATTGACAGTTTCTCAAAGCTGACTGTCTGAGCTTCGGCAGGAGACTGAAGTGTTATTATTCGATTTCTGTGTTATTTTACCATGACAAAATGAGTTCAGCAGTAAACTATAGTTTATGACATACATGATCCTGGTGGAACACTCTTTATTCGCTAAGGTCAGGGCTTTTTTCGGGCTTTATTAGTTTGCTGATACACGCCTAACCACCCAGACAGCAAAACACACTCAAGCCAATTTCGGCTAGAATCTCGCCTGCCCGGAGACTTACCCCTCAGGCTGACTACCTCTTCTGGACCTACCTACTCCGGATGCCTATGGACTCACTGCCCGATTCCAGCCCGATTTAATCGAGCCAGATGCGGCGGCCAAGCGAGCCGACGCTGCCGCATGCGAGCTGGAATCGGCCCGCGACGCCGCGAGTAGGTTATGTGCGCTGGCGCTATTTGAATCTTCATTATATAAAACCCTCACCTTTGTTAATGTTATTACATCCATTTGTGTTGATATAACAGCAAACGCAGGCTACTATGTAAACGCAAAGTGTAGCACTGAGTTTAACCTTTGAATAAAAATGCAAACAGCATACATCGCAAATATTTAAATAAAGGACAAAATAAATAACAATAAACCTGTATTGATTGCCCAAGTATTAAATAATAATAAAATTGAATAAATTTTTTAGTGCACAAGAATTAAGAATTTCAATATAAAAATGACAATAAAACTGCACAATAAAATAAACTAATTCAAGTATGGGGAAAATAGGTGATCGTTAGCAGTAATTCTTTTTATGTGTCTAAAATAATCTCCACGTTGATCTCCTGTAAGGTGAACTTGCTTTACAGGACGTCTCTGCATTTTAAGTTTTGGCATATGTTATTAAGTAATCTACTGAATTTGCTGTTATAAAACATTATAAGGTTCTTGAAACCGAATCTTATATAGCCTAATAAAGCTGTAAATGTTAGATATTATTTGTTTACATCATTTACTGTTGGCGTTTTATTTCAAAACTTCAACTAAACATTAAAATGAATGTAAATTCCTTGTTGCCAGATATAATAAAGGCATCAAATAAACCAAATGAAAACGGAGGCAATAAAATTAAATAAATAAACAATTCAAGCGAAAATCAATAAACTATAATAAAATATACTAGCGATGTTGCAGCAAATGGACATTGTATTAAAAGTGCAAAGTTTTTTTTTTTTTTTGCACAAATTGCAGTGTTGGGATGTGTGAATATCCTGTTGATATTTAGTAATCTTGCTGTATTTATCTTCTAAACGCATGATTGTTCCCGCCTGGTAAATCGTTAGGTGTGTAGGCTATATTATGGGTTCTGTTGATTGCTAATTAAAAATAAAAACCTTTCTAAAAATGTACGTGTTGTTTATATGTTATTGTTTATATTTTACAAGTGTTATTTCTACCCCTATGAAGATAACAAGTACCAACAACAAACACAACAATAAGAAAATATATTATTTGTGCTGATATTCAGGCTTGAGTGTATAAAAGATTGTTTATTTCTGCAGTCCAGCATGTATTGCTTTTATTTAAGTATAACAGCTTACATCACACTTTTTTTAAACGTGTATTATTTTGTGTTTTTAAATGTTAGTGCTTCTATTTACATCAGTGAGCCTTTGTTATAGTGCAGATGCCGGCAGTCAAGTGAGAAGTGCGAGGGGGGTGGTTGCTTTTACATAAAGCGTTTGGTTGGAACTCGATTCCGCTCATTTTCGCGGCTCCTCCTCTGGCTCCATCAGACAGTCCTTCTGCGCATGTACAGGCTCCAATTTCAGCAGTCTTTTGCGACAGTTTGTGCCCGTCAAGCAGGCGTTTTGCCCTCAAGGCGTTCAATGGAAAAAGGGGCTGAGTTGTCGTCCATATTTTTTACGGTCATTGGGCGATGGTGTTGGCTTAGTACTTTCCATTTGCATGTGTCACGTTGATCACAATCCCCTTTTTTCCCCATCAACTTCTTTATGGGTTTAAACTTGTTTCTTGTAGTTGTTAGTAGTTCTCAAAGATAGTGTCTAAGTTAGACTTACATCATTATTATAATAACTAATTACCAGGGCTATTGTGTTTATACAGGGTTTCCGCGGGGTCATAAAATGTCTTAAATTCCAAAATCAAAATTTTAGGTCTTAAAAAGTCTTAAATTTACTGAAATATTGTGTTGTAGGTCTTAAATCTTGTTTAAACAAATCTTCATTTTCCTTTATTCATGTTTTGCTTCCCAATCTGGCTAAAGCCCATACAATCACCAACAATCCATCACAATAAAACTTTAAAGCTTTTATTTAAAAAGGTCATTTTAACTTTATTTATCATAATGGTTTGATTATTTTCCTTACAATGACATTTGTTTAAACATGCTCCATGTATTTACTGCTGAGGACATCAACCTGGACAGAATGTTGTGCATAGATTTAGTTTATTATAGTTTTTAAAACTTTTAAAACATTTGTTCATTTTTTTTTTTTTTTCAAGAAAGTTTATGTTGGAAAAGGTGAATGGATACAACTAGAGATTGCTTGTTTTTACACATAATTTAAAATCTTTTGCTAAGAAATATCAAAAATATTTATTTTTTACTATTCATTTATTATTGTATTATTAAATGTATTAAATTCTAATATTTTTTTGATAAGACAAATAAAAATCTTTTCCATGTGGGCCAGTTATAAAAAAATCCTTAGCCTTATAAGTCTAATATTTCATTCATAATGGTCTTTAAAAGTCTTAAATTTAACTATGTGAAACCTGCTGAAACCCTGGTTTAAAGAATGTAAAAAGTGAATGCCCCAATATTAAATATGCTGAATGAAATGGACAATGAAATAATTAATTATTACAAAACATTGTACAGTATTCTAAACTATATGATGTTTGCTGTGGAACGATGTGAAACAAAACAAACAAATTCTAGTGTAACAATAATGTTTAGCATTGCACTGACTACAACTGGCCAACAAACTAGTCTAAAATGACTGTTGCTGCTTAAGAAATGGATTACAGCATGCTGATGATATGCAAACATTTGAGTGTCAAGTTCGTCAGAAATTCTCAAAATATTGACCATATTTTTCATGTACCAGCAGTCGCCGCCATTGGAATATTTTTGCTTGAGACTTTTATTTAAATAATTAATTTTAGATCCTAAAACAGTTTTATGCTGCTTAGGCATGGGACGATAACTGCTCTCAAGGTATACCGCAGTTTAGAAAAGTCAAGGTTTTAAAACCGACAATATTTTCTGCTATACTATTCCTACGTTTTTTTTTTTTTTTTTTTAATGATTCAATTTTTATTTTCTTTTTCTTCAATAATTTCACAATACAATCAGTTTACACATTTTACCTCCTTTTAACATCCTCTTATCCCTCCCCTCCTCTACAGTGGTAGTGCTTGCTGTCATTGAGTATAACTATCATAGACCCAGTAAACACAAATACTTTTATTAAACTCTATAGGAACAGTAACAATACAATAAAACAAATAAATAAAAGAATTATGTGTGCGTCTCACCACAATGACCTTTTTCCTTGTCCAAAATGCCAAGTAATTTCCCCATCTTCTCTGATAAACATCCAATTTATCTAATATTCTATATGTCATTTTTTCATATGCTGCCATACTGTTAAATTACAGTCCTCCTCTGGAGCTTGATTACCAATCTTAAATGTAATTTTTAATAGATGCCTAATCTGTAAATATTCATTTCATGCTTGTTGCTTTGTGCCTTCATACTAAAGTTCTTTTTTTTTTTTTTTAAAGACCTGATGGTGCTGAAAACAGAGACTCAACAATGGAATGAAATGGAAGAGAAACAGTTTGAGAAACAGCAAGAAATAACTGATGAAAAACCCACACTGACTGAAAAGACTTCATCACACGGAAGACCTCGGAATTCCAAATCTGCATGTAATTTTACTTGTCGTCAGTGTGGAAACCGTTTTAGTCGAAAACACAATCTTCAAGTCCACATGAGAATTCACTCTGGAGAGAAGCCCTACACATGCCAACAGTGTGGACAATGCTTCTGTACTAGTGGAAACTTGGTAGTCCACATGAGAATTCACACTGGGGAGAAGCCTTACTCCTGCTCTCAATGTGGAAAGAGTTTTAAGCAAATTAGCAATCTTAAAGTCCACATGAGAACACACACTGGAGAGAGGCCGTACGAATGCCAACAATGTGGACAGCGCTTCTATACTACAGGAAACTTTGCACAGCACATGAGAATTCACACTGGAGTGGGGCTGTACCCATGCCTACAGTGTGGAAAAAGCTTCCATCAATCAGCAAACTTGGTAGCGCACATGAGAATTCACACTGGGGAGAGGCCTTACTCTTGCATTCAGTGTGGAAAGAGTTTTAAGCAAAATAGCAACCTTGAAGCCCACATGAGAATTCACACTGGAGGAAGAATTTTTACTTGCACACAGTGTGGGAAAAGTTTTGCTCAAAAGCAAGACCTTGAGATCCACATAAGGGTTCACACTGGAGAGAAACCTTACACATGCACAGAGTGTAGTAAAAGTTTCAGATATAAAAGCACACTCAAACACCACATGATAAGTCACACCGGGGAGAAGCCGTTTACATGTGCTCAGTGTGGAAAGAGCTTCACAACCAAAGCTAGCCTCATGAACCACATGAATGGTCACACTGGAACCACAGTGTTCACATGTGATCAGTGTGGAAAGAGCCTCACACGCAAAGACACCATTAGGCAACACATGAAGACTCACTTAGGAGAGGATTGTTTTAGATGCAGTGAGTGTGGAAAGGGCTTTAAATGTAAAAGAAGCCTCAGCACTCACATGAAGCTTCACAATGGAGATCAGAGTCCTCAAAATTGAGGGTTAGTCAAGCAGAGCTTAGGGCTCTCTCCCGGGACAGCATGCTAAACAAGTTTGTACTCTTGAATACATATCAAGTTACTGAAAATGAAACCCTTTGAACATCTGAAGATTTAAACTCAGGGTGCTTTCACAGCTACACTTTTGTTTCGGAACCTGTCTCGTTTGCCCAGTTAGCGCGGTTCGTTTGGCATATGTGAAACCAACAAATTGCTCTAGGATCTGCGCCAAATCATCACTCCAAGTTCGCTTGAATGAGGTGGTCTCGGCTTGATTGAAACGCACTCTGGAGCGGATCGATTGCAGTGAGAAAGCGATACAATCCGAGCGCGGTTATATCACAGTGTATTATGGATATGTAATAGGCATACGGCTATATGAAGAAAGAATTATCTCCCGACTACCTCCCGGTCCTCAAATAGGCTACGTCGCGCACCCTTCTCACCCCTCCCCACCGCATCTCTCCTCAGACACGTCGCGCGCACCTTGTCACACACCATTAAAACACCACCTCTCCTGACAACTGAGCAGGACTCTGCAAAATAAACCCTGACACTCTGACCAATGTGAGTTAGAGTTTACTCACACGGGACTTGTTTTAGCTCTTTTGGTCCAATTAGAAACTTTGCAGTGTGGAAGCGAACTGCTCCAAGAGCATAGAGCAACAATATAACATTTGTAATCTCTGTTTCGGAACAACTGAGTCGATTCACAGGTGTGAAAGCACCCTCAATAACTGAGGAGGGGTGAAGATTTTTATTTTTATTTTATTTTTTTAAGTGTAGATCATGAGTCACAGCGCAGTTCCAGGTTGTAAGAATTTTAACTTCATAATGAAATTATAACTAGGCCCACAGAGATTCAGCATGGGCAGAATTCTGCAGATTTTTAACCCATCAAAAATTCTTTTTACAACCCCAACCCCAAAAAAGTTTTTTACTTGAGTAAATGTGTGTAAATCTATATTTATTCAGTTTTTTATTATTATTACCGTATTAACATTGACTAATGTGAAAATGTTCATCTGATTTATGTACAATGCAGTTTGTAAAGTAGTATTGTCTTTTAGTAGAGATATTATATGAGAGACTTGCTTTGTTTACCAAACAAGTGCCAAAAAAAAAAAGAGATGGAAGAGAAACATTGTGACATACACAACAGAATATTGTGGAAGAATACCTCTGATCAATACTATAATGTTTTATGAATAACATTGATAATTGTGTAAAACTCTTTAGTTGACAAACAAAACCATGTTTTAAGTCTAAGCTGTTGTAATTAAGAATGTCACCGTGGCTATCCATCATATCCAATAAAGAAAACAATATTATTTCTAACCTAATTTTTACAAAATAAAGACTTATTTCAATATAAAATAAAATGATTGTTCCATAGACAAGTTTTATGAAGACTGAAACTGTGGGAAAAGGCTAGTTTCCTGCACAATAGGACCTACTGGTGAAACAAAGACAGTTTGAGAGGCAGTTTAGACAGTTCAAAAGCACATCTGATCAAAACAACAATACCACCTACTTTGCAGAATACGGCAAAAGTAACTGTAAACCATATACTGTTTGTGTTACAAAGAAATTATCTTAGCCATTGCATTATTTTAGAACCCAGTTCATTAATTTCATGTCAATAACATTTAGGCTCCCTTCTTTATATCTGTTAACCAAGTCATTTTTGTTTTTGTAGTGATACTTATTTTCCCAGACAAAATTAAAAATGACACTCCTGTATTATTTTATTAAATGTGTGGGGATAGCTAGTGAAGAGGCTGGGTAAACACATTTAGATAGCAATTCCATTTTGGTTAATATAATTCTTCCAAATATTGAGACCTCCCTTTCCAACCAACCATTAAAAATCTTTTTTGCTTTTAGAAAATGATTTACAAAATTATTCTGAATATTAAGATTACTGTCTTTAGCAACAGTAATTCCTAAGTATTTTACAGAAGTTTTAATTAGTATATTGCCATGAGAGTCTAAATAGTCTAAATCACTGCAATGAATTGCATTTAATTCACATTTATTTATATTTAGATGTAGTCCAGATGCATATGGGAAGAGATTAATTAGCAGAATGGATTTGCCAATTTAAAATTTGTTCTTTAAAGAGCCCCTATTATGCATTAACAAAATGTAATATTTTGGTTTTGAGGGTCTCCAACAACAGTCTAAAATGCATGTAAGGTCAAAAAACACTGTCATTGTCTTATAATATGCATTTATTTTTCCTAACGACTCGAATTGTTCAGTGAAAAAAATAAATAAATGAAAAGTCAAACTGAGACAAAAAAAAAAAAAAAAAAAGACTGAATTTTTTCAGGGATTGAAAACCCTTTAATGGACCTTTCACTAAGCCCTGCCCTCCTTAATTGCTGTTACTACGCCTGTCAAGCTTTCGTGCCGTACACGACTTTTTCAATGTGAGTCGTAATATACTACTACACATAATAGGCAACCGATTAGAAAATAAATAAATCAAAATTAAAGCTAGCTTAGCCTAGCCGCCTCATACACTAACCATTCAACAGCTTAGCTCATGCTCAGCAGGAGAGGTGAAGTTTAAAAATAATCTAATAATAATAATAATAAATGAAACAGTGATTTCTCTATTTTTAGCCAGAAAGCCTGATAGATTGTTGTGCAATGAAATATAGCCTTACTAACCCATGAGGAAACATGCATGACAGTGCTTTTACATAGTTCATTCATAGATAGAACAGCCAGAAAGGGAAACTGATGGACTTGTGCCGAATATTAGCCTCATTGACCCATAACAATGTATAGTAAGTTACCTATAACTGTCAGTGTGTTTGTGTGCTCTTTATAAATGACTGAAAAGAGCTGCGGGTAAAGTATAGTGATTCAGTAAAGTTAGCAACAGATTCGCAGATTTGTATTTTCTGGATCAATAACTCATGTCATTATGACCTATTCGCTACTAGTATGACTAACGTTACTAACGTTATGGCGAAGGCTTAAACAAAGCTTTACTCATAATATCAAGCAAAAAAAAAAGGAATAAGACAGCTGTGAAACATTGCCAGCTTTGTGTTTATGTAGGAAACACAGTTTAGATCTGTTTAGGGTGAGAGGTGTGTGAGTTATTGCCATCTGTCTATCACTGTATGTGTCAGGAATTTCAAAACAAAACCAACGTAGCTCCACTCCTTTAGCTTCCCTCACACAGCCTGATCCACGCTGGCATGTCTGCTCCTGGGTTTTAGGTTTTGAAAAGGGAGAAAAATTCCACCGTCTCGTTCAAACTTAAAGGAGACCGGGTATCAGATTTGCACAATCCATGTGCACTCGCTCGAAAGCTTGACAGAGCCCCTGCGTGTAGCTACAGTTGCTGAGCCACGATTGGTGCATGGCGGTTTTTGGGCGTGGCTTGGCGAAGGGTCAATTCTGATGGATCAAGCAAGTCATCCAACAATGAAAAAAGAAAGTACAGAGAGATACCATTCACTTCTGTAAAATTCCAAATTATGATATCTCCCAAAGACTGAAAGAAAATTGAAACAACTCTTCAAAATGGACCATGGACCAACATACTGTACAATACCAACAGTTTCAGCATAAAAATCCTTGCTGTCCCATTAATTTTACCTACCAGCACATATGTTGTGATGACAGGTAAAGTTTCACAATGCAAAAAAAGCCTCATCAACTTTTGTTTCAGCATTACCATACAAATCAGGCATACTGGATCAATGTGCTATCTAAAAAAAAAAAGAAAAACAGTTTAGACCTGCAAGCAACACAGGGTGAGGAAAATTAGCAGATCAACACCCATTCAACAGCTAATGTCTGGTAACCTGCCACAAAGTTTAAATAAAAATATCCTGAAGGTCAATACTGCTGATGTGAAAAGCAACATGCATGTACATGAAAGTGCATTTATGGAGACGTATTTAACTCAGCATATCATTAAAGTGTGTGACACCAACTTTTATGATATGCCTGGTTACATCCAACACTTTCAAATAAACCCATTTGGTGCTCACCTTTTCACAGAAGTAGGCATTAGCATCCTGGTTCATCACCTCAGGGAAAAAAGTGTGCTGTGTGATCTTGATGCAACAGGGGGTGTGTTATTAAAGATCCTGGAGCAAAGCAAAAGAGTGCTGTACTATGCACTCACTTTGCCTGGAGAAGGCAGAGATGCTCCACCTCTTCCAGTGTGTGAGATGCTGAGCAATGAGCACAGTATTCCCCCATTGGCTTTTTGGCTAATGCAGTTTCAGCTGAAATTGTCAAAATACACAAGGGTCAGAGTTCAAAAAGTGAAAACGGACTACATCTGGGCCTTGATGCAAGTTGTTGTTCTTGCCTTTAATAGACACAACATTGATGCATACCTGGAGTGGACTTATGCCATTTGCAAGATGATCAAGACATGGGTGGAGATAAAACAAATCACTGTTTCTGCATCTCTGTTCTGCCCACATTATCAAGGCTGTAAGTGTTAGCATTTGGCAAGAAAACTGATGATAAAGGACTAAAAGAGTTTGCAACGTTTGCGTTTGCCAGGTTTCAAAACACTGTAAATGTGAAGGCAGCAAGTGAAATCTTCAGGCACTTTTGCATTGTGCTCCTGGCCAGCCATGAGACTGCAACAGACAGTAGTAGCGGTGAATTTATTGAAGCCCTGATTAAACACCAAGAGGATCCCATAGAAGAGTTTACAGATGAAGACTACTTCGACATGTGGGAGAATGAGGAAGAAAGGTCAGCTAAAACAATTGTGGGCCGATCTCCATACTAAAGTCTGTTCAAAAAAAGCCTTTGAGGAAGCAAAACTAATAGTAGAGTCTAAGCAAAATGGGGAAGGTGATAGCAGCAGTGCTTACCACTGTCCAGGAGTCCCTATTATCCTTATGGACAACTGGAAATCTACCCTTATGGGAATCTACCATTTGTGGAGTGGGAAACTTCTGGGAGATTTGCGGAAACTTGCGTCAGTCAAAGAGAACACAAGCCACACATTAGATTCTGCCAAGACAAGAGACACGAACTGCCTTATGAAAACATAGCTTGGTATAGGGAAACATTTAATTCTTCACTAAAAAAAAGAAAACTCAGACCAGCAGAGTTCATTCAGAGAATGTATGCATCTCTCAAAGGTAGATACAGAGAGCATATGCTTAACCATAGTTTACCAGAGGAGCTCCTTGTAAGGCCAATGAGGCCAAAGAAGAATCTGGTGTTTGCAGAGGAAAGTTGGGCTAAATGGGAAGAACCAGCACAAAAAAAGATGAACAGTCAAAGTACTATTCATTTTTCAAAAAAATATTACATATTCTTGTTTAATTGCTGCCATGTGGGCCTTTTCTTTTAAAACACAAGAGGTGCAGAGGCCATTTTGTTTTAAAAACTCAACCCTATTAAACGCATTGTTTTGGGGTTGTAAACTTGAAACAGGATTGAGAAATTCACATAATTTGTCAAGAATTTTAATTAAAAAACATTTCAGTAAATATATACCTACTATAGTCTATATTTGAAGCGGTGTTTTACTTAAACTTTGACGCAATTTAATGTCAGACATTGCAACCGTACCAGCAGCAGATTTTATATTGAATGTGTCGAGTTTTATCACGAGTTCATGAAAAGCTAATAAAATTAGAACACGAAAAGTAAAAAAAAAAAAAAAAAAAAAAAAAAAATTAAATTATGTTATAGTTAATTTGTTTATCTCTATGTCATGTGACAATTACCCAACTTTAGAGGAGGGGTCATTAAAGGCATAACTCATATTAATATTGTAGATACAGAGGGTTAAGCTATCAAAAGGTTTAGGAACCCCAGAATGAATCTTCTGGTGGTCCTCTCCTGCTGCCCATTCTTCTCAAGGTTGGAAGTTTTGTGTGTTCATAGATGCTCCTCTGCAGGCCTCGGATGTTACAAGTGGTTATTTCAGTTACTGTTGCCTTTCTGTCAGCTGGAACCAGTCTCCTCTGACCTCTAGCATCAACAAGGCATTTGTGCCCCCAGAACTGCCGCTCACTATATAATTTTCTCTCCCAGATTGTTGTGCGTGAAAATCTCAATACATCAGCAGTTTTTGACCAGCCTATCTGTCCATATAATTTTATTTTTTTTATAAATATTATTGAGAATTTACATTAAAAATTTCATTAAGATGTTTTCTGCTGCAGTTTTTATTTATGTTCCAGGAAATGTTTTAGACATGACTTTACCTGTTGCTTCTGTTTACTGTAGGTTCTGTTCAGCAATAGATTTGGTAGCATAGGCCTTTATCAGCATTTTTTTAAGGTTACTAACGGTCCAGTTATCTGCAGCAGTTCACTTTTTGGAATTCTGATTGTGGTTTGATTTAATAAAGTTTCATTTCATCTCAGTGTGCCTTTATCTCATTAATACCTTTGCTAAATGTTTTACTTAAATAAATAAATGTTTTAAGTAAGTCTAAGACGTACTGTAATTTCAAATGAATTAAAACAAATTAAAATTGATATTGAAGTGTCCCTTCAACCCTGTTATGGTTTTCAACCTCGTCACTGTGTTCTCAACCCTGTGAGATTCATATTTTTTAAGGAAAACAAATAAATATAGAAAAAAAAATCTTGCTGAGAACCAACCAGCATGTTAAGGCCTGACATTGTAAATATGTGGTTTGAGTAAGACATCTAAATTTAAAACTTTTTGAGAAAAATTAAGAGAGCACAGAATGCATAAGTTGTATAATTGTAACTTAAATCACATATGAATCTAAAACTCATCAAAAATGTTATATTTTAGCCATTAAACTGAATTGAGGGACATATGAGCAATAGGGAAATGTTGGTTTTATAGAAAACCTTTTTAAAATACTATTATTACCAACTGATTTTAGTCCATTACGGGGTTGAGAATAATGGCTGTCCAAATAAGATTAAAAGAGAAAATAATATTAATGGCTTTAATGCCATGATGTTTTTAAGTTTGAATTGTGCCTAATTATGTAGGCTATATTTAAAAATATAATCAGTACACTTTTAAAAATGAGTTTGCTCAAGCTGAAATATTACCAATCGCCAGGACTGACCCTTATATTATCACAAATCTTAAAACGTGCGCACACTAAAAGATATGACAACTGCGACACAGCACAGTACAGGATACAATCAAGATTATTGTCTCTGATGGAGCATATCACCTGATTGCAGAGTAACTCTGCTGTTTATTATAGGCTTGCTTACAAATATTTGAACAGCCTGCAGAATGAAAAGAAATGCTGCTTATTAAAAAGAGCACCATCAAGTCCATAAAATGTCTATTATTATTATTACTACGGATCAGAGAGAAGACAAAGGGAGATTAACAGAAAGAATGGATATTTAATGATACTTTAGGGGGAAAACCAGTGTGGAGAGTTTTGTATTAAGCACCATTGACAAAACGTGTCGGGGATTTACAATGGAGGATTCTGTAAGTTAATGCTTTCATACGTGTTAGTGTCCATGACAAGTGTATCTTCTGTGGACTTAGAGAGACTGTATTATTGCTATTTGGAATGTACACGCTTAACACTGGAGAAAGTTTGACTCAATGTAAGTTTATTGTGGAGCTGACTATAGTCAGAAACTGAAATGGCAGTCCCTTAACAAAAGTTTAGTTGCTCAAGCAAAACTTGCTCTACTTATCACAAGAAGAAACTAAAAAGATTATGTACATGCTGTCTTTATTTAATTACCCTAATTAAACAAAGATAAACCAGGATCCTCCCTTTGCTATATTTCTTAGCTAGAGTTTAGTTAAGGGATCGCCTTTAGAATGTATTTTGCAAAAGAATAAATTCATACTTTACCACACAGGGTCACTTGATGGGTTCTGGAAAATTAATTCAATGTCCAACCAAGTGCAGAAAAGTAATAAAATATACTTTTATTAATAAAGTAAAATCCAGGGAAAAAGTAGAATAAACAAAGATACAAATTAGAGAAACAAAATCCTTACTTTATTCTCCGTTGAGAATAAAGGGCCTAAGACATTCAGTATACAGAAGTCAGAAAGCGCAAAGCTGATTTGTACATTTCAGCTTTTATAGCCATGCATAGATAAAGATCAACTCTGAAACTGTGTTGGGAGACAGGTGTTCATAAATCATCTATAAACACAGGTGCATAACCAAATTAAACGGTAGAATTTGAACAGTAGGGAAACCCTTTAGGGAGGCAGATATATAGTAATCCCAGTACATTATAAAACATAACTTAATGTTTAGGCAGTTTAATTATCAGCCTGAATATATAGTGTGCCTACACATTTATGCACTTAGATTCATGTGTGTAAATTGACCAGAGAGGTCAGCGAAAGTTCCTTTAGCTGGTTTGTTGGTTCGGTGCGCCCTCTGTTGGAGAAACCTCTCCTTTCTCTTATGCTTGGCTTCATCATTAAGAGTTGTGCTTGTACGCCTAGGAATATCAGAATACATCAGTGATTTTTTGTGTCTCATATGATTAATGTCATCGGACCAATCAGACACTACAATGCTCAAGAGATTTAGAGTTTTAAAGTGTTCGTGAGGTCCAGAATTACAATAGATTTGAAGTTTTACAAGGCCATAAATGATGCTGAAACCTTTGAACAACTGTGGTGTTATAAGGACGCTGTCTGGAATGTGGAGGAAGGAGAGCTGCTGTTAGATCTGCTGTGGAGTTACAATGTGTGAAATGAAAAATGATGTAATAAAGTATTTTTGTAAAAAAAAAATCCCACACACTTAAACAGAAACACTCTCTCTCTCTCTCTCTCTGTCTTTCACACACTCACACACACACACACACACACACAAACAACAGTGAACACATGCGCATAACACACACGTACACAGCAGTGAACATGCATGCATGTGCAAACACACACACACACACACACACACACACATCTACTGACTGCTCCTTCTCAGTATTCAGCACAGTTTTACTGATGATCCACACCAAACACAAAATCCAGCACAGAGCGGCTCAGTGAATGTGGTCTGGACTGAGTGGATGAGGCTCATTGTGTCTCTATAGATATTGTAGAAGATCAGAGTCCCTGCACTGTGATCCACAAACACTCCTATTCTCCTGCTGAGCGGTTTCACTGGGAGATCAGTGTGTGTGTAATTGTGCCAGAATATGAAACTGGAGGAAAAGCAGCACAAACTCCAGGACTGAGCATTACGTCCAAACCAACACTCATCAATTATTCCCTTTCTCTTTATGCTCTTATATGACACTGCTATACACACACGATTATCTCCACTCCAGTCAATCTCCCAGTAACATCGTCCACGCACACTCTCTCTGCACAACACCTGAGGATAAAGACCTTCAAATCTGTCTGGATGATTAGGATACGGCAGACGCTTTCCCATACTCTTCACCTCTCTGTTCTCCTCAGACAGAATGAGACAAGTGTATAATGTGTTTGGATCCAGAGTGAGGAAACAGGCATCTGAACATAAGAACACACACATTTATAACCACAGATCTGTGTGTGTGTTTGTGTGTGTGAGAGAGAGAGAAAGAGCGAGAAAGACAGAGAGTGTATGTGTGTTTGTGTATGCGAGAAACAGTGTGTGTGAGTGCGAGTGTGTGTGTGTGAGAGAGAGAGAGTAGCCGCGTTTCCACTATCGTGCCTAAAGCGAGCGAGCCAAGGCCAGTCGCGTTTCCCCTGTCGCTTCCAGGGCCTAATCAGGCCAAATCGGGGCTTTTTTGGGGCCAGCAGCCGACCTTTTTCGACCTGCCTAATAACTTGGGCCAAAGAGGGCCAGCTGGGGTTTCGGGCAGAGTGAAAGGAGAGGCGGGCACAGTTTTCCGATTGCACACGAGTACATGCGCCAAACAAATAAAAAAATAATTGAAAGAAAACATCTGGAAAAAATTATAGGCTGGGGTCTTTTTGCGTATGATCGCCCTTATGTTTCTCTTCAGTAAGGCTGTTGCATAAAATAATAAAGTAGTTTTAATTATTTATAAGTGACTTTTCCTTGCTGCATCCTTCTTGATGTTTCAATAACGCATAATAATCTTTACACCATATTACAGACACAGCAGACAGTAAAGGTTTTCAAGAGTTTTTGTCAAGTTTAAAAGGTGTGTTTGTGCGCGTTTAGATGCCTGTATGCGTGTGTGAGACCGAGGAAAAGAGCGCTCCCTTCATAGCTCTGTTGATGCCGCGAGCGGCTTTTATCTTTTATTTTTATTGTTTTTATTTATGTTGGAGATAGTATTCATATAGTATTCATATAGATACACTATATGAATACAACAGAAAGACATTAAACTTTACAAATTTCGTGTCCACTTTTGTAGGCTCAAAACAATAGTGTCATATCTAGATAAAATAGCCCTATATTGAAATAATTTAAAGAATTACAAATATCAGATGTAATAAAATCACATTAAATAAATAAACCAATATAAAATTAACAAAAGCTAACTATAACAATTAGGTATTATGTCAAACCGCTTTATAGCCATTAAACTTTCATTTTTCAAAAGCCTCTCTGAAAAAAAAAAGATTTTAAATATTTTCTAAAAACAATAAACATCGGAGAATGTTTTAAATATTATTTATAAACTATTTGGATATGATGATATTAATCAAATCATGCAAACAGAGCATTTTCGGGGTGAGTGAAAGCAGAAATAGGCAACCTTTTTTCAGTCTGGAGGTGCGCAGCACTTTACCGCGAATCGGGGAAAACTACATGTTTAAAATGTGTTCTGTGTCCTCAAACAAGTGTGTATGTTTTTATATAACATGGTAAAATTAAAAAAGAAAATTTTAAATACATAAAGAGCTTTATTAGTGCATAGCTGCTAACCGCAACGAAATATAGGCAATATTTTATTACGTGCTGCTCTTATGTGCTGAAACACTGAACACTTTCTTTTACTTAAGATATTATAAGCAACATCTTTAAATAAAGGGAATCACCTATTAAGTGTCATAAAGCCTATAGGGAAAAAAAAATCATGTTTCAGTTCTCTCCGGAGCATTTGGGATGAATGTTGGACAGATTCTGTCTAGAGGATGTTATAAAATACATTTTATATCGAGTTATTAACGGAGAATTTTATAAATGTGGTGTTATATTATGGATGTGTGCGCTCCCTGCGCTGGGTCTCTCCGTTAGTGGCAAGACCACTGGATTTCAATGCCAACAGTCGGTCGGCGAGTAAATGAATATGATGAATGAGAACACACAGGTATGTGCGTATAGACATGCATTGTACTGCTGTACAGTAAAATGTCATTTGTTTGTTTTTGTTGTCCTAATTTTAATAGTTTCATGATGATGTGGTGTGCTTTATCTGCCTGATTCCCGCTGAAGTGGGCGGACTGAGTGACGTTTGATTCGGGGGATGTTCTGGAGGCGGGGTTTGAGTGACGCGCTGCGAGCTACTAGCCCGACAGTGGAAACGCGACATGATTTTGGCCTCACTGCTCAACCACCCAGGCGATTGGCCCGGTGTGGCCCGATAAAAGCCCTGGCTCGCACTGGCCTGATAGTGGAAATGCAGCTAGTGTGTGTGTGAGAGAGAGTGAGAGAGACAGAGAGTGTATGTGTATGTAGTCATACATTTGCGTGGTCCTGCTGTGATCCTCATGTCTCCTCCATGATCCAGACTGTAAACACACACAGATGGAGAGAATGAGCTGTTTAGTTTCCCCCTTAAATAATAAGCTAAAGCTAGCACTGACCTGCTCAGCTGCACGCTCAAAACTCTTCAGCTAAAACACACACTTGTTGGTTCCAGCCGGGATGCACAATAAATCTAACACAATGCATTCCTTTTCTCTGCTGTTGGTGAAGCAAGCGCAGATACTGCTCATGCTGATGGAGACACCCTGCTGCAACATTCATTTATTAGTGATCACACTTTAGCTTTGCCATCGATCTTCACCACATGCGGCATTTGAGCACATGTTGCAGTCCATCTCTAAACTCTGTTCAGATTATTAAAGCTGCTCGCCAGCGCCCAAGTTCCTGACAGATTAGCAAGTGAAAAATACACGTGTGTGCACAGAGAAGAGGAATCCAGATGTTCATTTTAGAACAAGAGTCTAATAATCTAAGTGTTTAACTCCAGAATCTGAATCCATCTTCAATCCCCAACCCAATTTCTGAACTGATAAAGTAGGATTTTTCAGCAGAAATGAGGGAAGAAGTTTCTCTGCTCAGCTCAAATGCTGAAACTGTACAGTGTGTCCCGCTTAACGTCAAAACTGAGCCAATACACTCTCAACATTTACAGAGGAGATTTATTTCACATTCAATGATTTGCTCTTCATTGACATGACTGTAATAATCTACAAGCTGAATCTTCTGTCTGTCCTCACTCTATAACCCTCACAGAAAATTGAAGCTGATCAGAAAAGAGCTTTCTAGAGTCTTTTTAAAGCCATTCAGTGTAAAAGCACAAGGCCAGTGATGCTCCACATACTTGAGTTTGTCCAGTGTGTAGTTTGGATCCTCCAGTTTTTCAGAGAGCAGCTTGACTCCTGAATCTCCTGGATGATTGTAGCTCAGATCCAGCTCTCTCAGGTGTGAGGGGTTTGAACTCAGAGCTGAAGACAGAAAACCACAGCCTTCCTCTGTCACCATACAGCCAGACAATCTACAAACACAGCAATAGTCCACATCACACAGTTGGACAATCACACATCACGCCACTGCCGGCCTGCACACACACATTATCGTGTGTGTTAAATGCAAGTGTGCCACCAGCCTGTGTTTGAGTAAAGGTCCCGGCCGTTAGATCCCCCCTGGGGGCTGGCTGCCTTCTCTGTGTTAATGAAGGAGAAAAAAAACGAAATATGGCTTTGGTCAATTAAAGCACTGGTTATCATGTTGATATAGTTGCAGATCTTCATTTTTGTAAACAGTATGTTTTTAGCAGTAATTTAATGCTGGGCGTGTCATCGTGATTGACAGCTGTGATTGACAGTTTCTCAAAGCAGACTATCTGAGCTTCAGCAGGAGACTGAAGTGTTATTATTTGATTTCTGTGTTATTTTACCATGATATAATGAGTTCAGCAGTAAACTAGTTTCTGACATACAGGATTTGGTGGAACACTGTTTATTCGGTAAGGTCAGGGCTCTTTTCGGGCTTTATTAGTTTACTGATACACGCCTAACCACCCAGATAGCAAAATCCACTCGGGCCATTTCCGGCTAGATTCTCGCCTGCCAGAGCCTTACCCCTTGGCCTGACTCTGTCTGCCGTCTACTCACTGTCCGATTCTGGCCCGAGTCAATCGGGCTAGATGCAGTGGCCGTTAGCGAGCCGACGCCGTCGCATCTGAGCTAGAATCGGCCCATGAGTATGTGCGCTTTGGCCCGGAGCTGGCGCGATTGAATCTTCATTATATAAAACCTTACCTTTGGTAACGTTATTACAACCGTTTGTGTTGATATAACAGCAAATGCCGGCTACTTTGTAAACGCAAAGTGTTGGCATTAAGTTTAACCTTTGAATAAAATGCAAACAGCGCCTACATATATATTGCAAATATTCAAATAAAGGACAAAATAAATAATAATAAACCTGTATTGATTGCACAAGTATTATACAAACAAAAATAAAATTGAAGAAATTTTGTAGTGCACAAGAATTAACATTTTCAATATAAAAATAACAATCAAACTGCACAATAAATTGTAACACATTGTAAACAAATTTAAGTAACAATGATGAGGAAAATACATGTGATGGCTATCTAGCAGTAATTCTCTTTAGGGGTCTGAATTAATAATTAGGAAAACGAAAACTAATGTTAGCCGATCTGCCCTGATTTACTTGATTTACAGATTTGATTTACATGACGTCTCTGCATTGTGAGTTTCGGCATGTTATTGAGTTCATCTACTGAATTTGCTGTAATAAAACATTAATGTTCTAGAAACCGAATCTTAAATAACAAATAGAGCTGTAAATGTTATATATTATTTATATAAATCATTTACCGTTTGCTTTTTATTTGAAAACTCCTACTAAACATTAAAATGAACACAAATTCCTTTTTGCCAGATAAAATGAAGGCATCGAATAAACCACATGAAAACGGAGGCAAAAAATAATAACAATGAAAGCGATGTTGCAGCAGCTGACATCAGTTAATGCAATAATACCGCAAAGTTTTTTTTTGTACAAATTGACGAAATGCAGGGTTTGTTCTATAAAGGGTACATCGGAAACGGAATGTATGAATGTATGATGTTCAGACCTGCAATGTGGTAACACAGTTGTCATGAGGTTAGTTCCGGAGTAAACAAGCGAGAGTGAATCAGACCTCATGTGTCCGCCTCTCTATAAAATAGTGTACGTAACAGGGTTGGGATGTGTAAATATCCTGTTGATATTTAGAAATCTTGCTGTATTTATCATTTAAACACACAATTTTTACTGTATGGTAAATATTTTACAAGGTAAAATATTTACAAGTTTTATTTTTACCCCTATAAAGATAACAAATACCAACAACCCTGTTATAAGACAATATTTTTGGTGCTCATATTAGTCTAACTCAGGCTAGAGTGTATGAAAGATGATTTATTTCTGCAGTCCAACATGTATTGCTTATATTAAATTATAACAGCTTACGCCACACAGTTTTTAAACCATATATTACTGTGTGTTTTTAAATGCAAGGGCTTATATTTACATCAGCGAGCCTTTGTTGTAGAGCAGATATATGCGGTCAAGTAAGAAGTTTGGGTGGGCGTGGTTGATTTTACATCAAGCGTTTGGTTGGAAGCTTGATTCCGCAGCTCCTCTTCTGGCTCCATCAGACAGTCCTTCTGTGCATACCCAGGGTCCAATTTAAGGAATCTTTTGCGAAGGTTTGTGCCCATCACAAGGCGTTTTGCCCTCAAAGCGTTCAATGGAAAATGGTCCTGTCGCATCATCCATTTACAATCATTGGTTAAACATGATAGAACAAGCAGGCACGGTCTTTGAAGAGGAATATTTGGAAAAGAACTAAACACTGAACTCCTCTGAAATCCACATCACCCAGCCATAATCACATGTTGTTACTTTAAAGACGCTTCCAAAATTTGCAAATATCAGACATACATTATATTATACAGGCCCATTGCCAGCCTGGTAAAAGGGATGTTTTTTTTTTTTTTTTTTTTCAAAAAGTGGACCTTTTTGCGGTTATATGCCTCAGTTTCTACTTAACTATGAGATTTAAATACTGCATTTTAGTGACATTTTTTGCTGAATTAGCTAGTCAGATGTCATCTGAAGGATGCGGGCACTTGTTTACTGGTAACACCATTGATCAATCAACAAAATGAAGGTAGGAAGATTTAAAATTATAAGACTAGGGATTGTCTGTGAAGTGGTGTGTAGTAACGGAACGTTTTTGGTTCTCATTCAGACGTGAATGAATGTTGTTGGTTCTTATTCAGACGTGAATAAAAGGCACCGGTGGATTCACAGGATTTTGTGGTAGATTGCTGTGGAATCCCTTAGCGAGCTGGTGCATTTTGTGGTACACCTATAGCGATACTGATAAGTGTAACAGTAGTTAAGAGGTGTACCTTCTCCTTCACCCGGAGTTAGAGTACTCATTTGATGGGTGTTTAGGAGGCTTTTGGGACATTCTCGGGCATAAAACCTGGACTGGTTTTCTATTTAGTAGTGGACTAAATTAACCCGAGATTGTAATTGAGTTCCACCACTGCTATCTAACTACATCACAGACAAAAGGCATGCCATAAGAATAGTGTAGGTCAGATTATTAGGGAAAGAAATAATTGAATAAAAATAACAAATAACATTATAATAGGGATCCATTAGATAGTAGTGGCCACAAAAGTCAGACAAGATACCTAGAAATATCAGGGTAAGGTTGATTGATCAATGATGCACCAGGAGCAATCCCAAAATTATGACCCTAACTGGATTGGACCGGTCTGGACAGTTTGCACATCTTGGGATGGTTTGCAGATTCATCAAGCAGAAGCCAAGCGCTGTTGGTAAGATTGCCCTCTCAATTTCTTCTTGCTTTTGGTGTTGAACTCAGATATAAAAAGAAATAGATGAGAGCAGAATGCAGTAAATGGCTCAGCTAAGCTCTCAGGTTTAAAATGATTTTAGAACTGATTGTAAAAAAAAAAAAAGTATTCCTTTGGCATTTAATTGTCATTGAAAAGCTAAAATCTAAATATTGAGAGGCTAGTAGCAAAAACTAAGCACAAAAACTGACAGTAACATTATGGGAATAAAGAATAGCTTATGTTTTGTCTTAGAAGATAAGATTCTGTGTGACTGCACTGCTGTCTTGGTTTAGCCCTCAACATGACAGGTTTTGGCTGTAAAAGTAACAGACACATGTCTGAATAAAAATATGCCATGTAAGTCTGTGCAAACAAGCAGCTTTATGGTTGGATATATATATTTTTAATAATATATAAGTAACATAAATGGGGGTTTCAAATAATACTTTGATGGATGCAGTTAACCCCTGAAAGATCTAAAACTATTGTTGACTGTAACAGCATTACTTTGAAAATGCATGTCAACTCTGTTTTATATGTTTTAGGACGGGCTTGAGTAAAAAGATATTACAATAAAATTATGTTATTGAGGTTAATGTTATGTTTTTATGTTTAAATTTAGTAAACATGCATTTTCGTTCTAGATTGCTCAAAACTCTCTTTCTCTCTCTTTAGATGTCAGCTAAGAGCTGCTATCTGCCTGTTCCATAACAATTGATAAGCACAGTGCTAAGTTGGAAATCACAATGTAAAGGAAATGCTAGAATGAATACAGAAATTCTACATTTCAATTTGTATACACTAATAGATGTATTAGTAATTAAAAATCAAAGTTAACAAATAAGAGATTGCAAAATGCTTTTGTTTGTTTTCCCAGTGATGGGTTGCGGCTGGAAAGGGCACCAGCTGCATAAAAACGTGCTGGATAGGTTGGCAGTTCATTCCGCTGTGGCGACTGCGGATTAATAAAGGGACTAAGTGAACAGAGAAATGAATGAATGAAAATGCTTTTGTTAAAGCATCTTGAAAAACACTAATATACCCGCTGAGCTATAGAGATAATTAATTTGAACAGTTGTTATTACTGTTTGGAAATTTCTTGTCTTGTCTTCAGCGGTTTATTACTGTTTGTAACTTTTGTCTTATCTTTAGTCTCCACCATCACATACAGGGCCTGATGGTTATACTGAGGTAGCAGACCCTGACATTGAATGGATCAGGGTGATATCTAAACTCCCTGAATAATCTCAGCTTGATATTCAGTTGATTTAAGTGTTTGATTAACCTGTCTCAATGTTTGAATTCTAGTAGGTAGTCTCAATGGCTTTCATGGTTCTTGACTGCGCTTTCCCAAGTTTGCAGAAAATTCTGAATCAAGGAGGAAGCCTGCACAGGAGCTTGCAGTGTGAGTGGCAGTTGACCGGTGGGCACGAAGGGGGGTTCCCTAAGACGGGTAAGATTTTCCCTTGGCCAAAGCGGAAAACAACCTAAGGCATGGGACCCCTCGTAAACCCCGGGGCATCTACCCGAAAAGGGGGATGTTTAATGTGAAAGATGGTGCTGGACTGGGGTGATGCTCTATCGGCCTAAAGCATCCTTAGAGGGG